ACCAATCCCTTGGAATGTGTGTATATATTTTGTTTGGTTGGTTTTTTGTTGCACATGGAAATTTTGTATTGTTTTCCAATTCTATGAAATATGTACGTATCAAGGAATGACTGAAGAGTTTGTACAACAAGAAGGCACATTGATTAATCCAAAATGAGATCAGTACAAAGTGTGATATATGTAAAAGTGAAGGCAATAAGAAATTAACCTTGGGGGAAGACAAGAGTGCCTAGAAAGAAAAAAATGATGCCAGCATTAACTGAACAGCTCATTGGAGCCTCAATGGTAAAGAGAGAAGACAATATTAGTCATCTCACACCTTCTCACACATTCTTTCTAAGTTCTGCCCTGACTTCTTTTATATATTGCTGTAAATAAAGCTGACCTCATTAAGGACACTTTAAAAGCAAGTGGGAACCAGGAGCTACTGTGTTACCGAGATATACATTCCTTCTTCCTCAACATATCTTCATTTTTAATATCTTACATAGCATGAACTGAATTTTTTTTCTTAGATTAATCAAATTATTCTTGGACCTATTTTTTCACCAGTAATTTGAGAACCAAATCAGAATTAATGTAGGAATAAAATTATACCTGATTGTTATAATGATATAAGAACCATGCTATTCTCTCTTAGAACAATTGCTTGCAGTATTCAAAAAATTTCTTAATATATATGTCTCCTTTACTTAGCAAATGAATGATACCATTTCTACCCATAGACACTTCAATCAAATCCAGTAAGACAAGATAATATACATATATAGAGAGAGATGCAGTATTTATCTTTCAAGTTATCTGAAATATCAATGACTTGAAATGTTGGGGCATTTTAAATTAGTCCCATACAATTTCTAGTATGTCTGTAAAAAATATCTCGGTCTTGGTGAATATAAGGCTGCAGGCAGTGTTTATGGATCTACTTTTATGAAACATGTAGTACAGGATCTAAGATGCTTCTTTTAGTAGAGCAGTCATTTACAAGGTGTGACTCATTTCTCTACACAAAGGCATTAACAATATAAGTATTTATGATAATCACGCTTATATCCTCTTATGAAGAGACACAATACAAGGTTGTTGCTAATCTGACTTGCTAGTGACAGCAATTCTAGAATGGGATGAACTGTGCCCTGGCCAGACCTTTGTTAACCCTGCAGAAGACAGACTTGCTTAGAGAAATGACTTAGGTGTGAATGCTCACTTTGACTTACATGCAGTCCTGTCCTAGATCTCTACAACAACAGCGTTCTGATGCTGATCTCCCTAGTTAACAGAGTACAGCTGGAATGAAATGTATGCAAGAATAAGCACACAAAGACAAAAGGAAATGTACTCACCCTTCAAAAACACAGATTGCTAAAGATTGCTGTCCTTGTGTGTTCTGCACCTTTCCTTCCTCTCTACTTCAGATATCTCTCCAGTCTGTCAAATTCACAGCAAAGGATTTGAAGTTCCTGCTGGTCCTGTTTCTTACTTTCTGCTTTCATTTTACTGCATTAAAGTAATTAGAATAAAAGATACCATCCTCTCTTAGAAATACAGAATGAATGAATGACTAAACTACGTTGTTCTAGACAATTTGTCTAGAAGACTGGGTGCTTGACAATAACAAATATTTAGATTGTCTGTAGATACATTTATAATGTGGCTTTTTCTGCACAAGAATTGCTAGTTGAGTGTTTTCATCCTGTATTCATAGGCACTCTGCCATGTTTTGAGGGAGAGGAGTAGGAGGAAGTGTTATAAATGTACAAATAAACTATACTAATCTCTTGACAAAGAGATTAACTTGATTCTATTTGTACTGTGAACGATCACAAGGATTACTCTTTAACAAATGCTTCAATGAGATCTTTAGTGTCTTACAGAAATTAATGCTACCAGGAAGATTGTTTTCATAGACCAGTATAGCAGCAAGAAAGAGACAACAGGTTCAAAAGATTTACTTGAAAGAAAGAAGATTGATGGGAAATCCATGTCAGGGGGAAGACTGTTGAACTTCTCCCAACATGTGGGATAGTTCAGGAAGAACTTTGAGGGAATGCCTGAAGAAGAGACCAGCAGAGATCCAGAACTGATGCACAGTCTTCCTTTGCAGATAGTACATGGCACAGGTGAGAAATACTTCTTCAGACACTCTTGAGGTGAGGGAGGATGATGGAGTATATTTATGTTCTCGCACTGTCAGAAATTATAGAAGGGTTTACTAGTAAGGTACTTGTTTTATATGGAACAGCAAATTGTCCCTGTAGGGGTAAGTATGCTGGAGAACACCGGGCAATAGCAACACCCTGATAAGAATCTGTGGTAAGAAAGACTTCCTAGACTTAAACTCTCTTTTTCTTCTGAGAACTCTATTTTGATCAGTCATTTCAGCAGGAGGGCTGTCAGACTGTTGGACTTAAGTCCTTCTTGATTCCTGTCTCTCTGTGGTCAGTGGCATACACTTGCAAAGTGGTTAGGATTGCCAAGGTGGTGGCAATGCTGACATCTCTCTAAAGACTTGTTCCAAAGGTAACGGGTCAAGAGGCACAAGAAATGTGTGGAAAAGCTGCTAGACTACCTTCCCTCAAAACAGTAAGTTCTGCTTGAAACTGCTGCAGGCCCTCAAAAGAAGAACAGGCCAGAGGAAAAAAGGCCTATTACTTCAGAATAACAACACATACCTATCATCAAGAGTTTAGGGTACTTATGGTCAGAGACAAGAGCTGACTATGCCAACAAGGAGGGCTTAGAGCTCAGACAAGTATCTTATGACATTAAGGGGAACCCAAATATCTCAGAGCCTAGCTGAAAAGGCTGAGCTTTGGAGTAAGGCCTCTTATGCCCTTTGGAAAGATGTGGTAGAATAATGGTCCTTAAAGTAGAATTGTCCTAGTTCAGTCAACCCTTCCTTTGGGTAAAGCACTGCAATTAGAAGGTGCATGAATAGAATGTGGTGAAGAACACAATTTTGGAGGTGTTCTTCTCTGTCCTTTGGCTTTGTGACTGTAAATTACATGATGAGTTATCTAGTGGTAGCTCAGTTGCAGTAATATGGCTGTTGTAGTCTTCTGAAAGAAAATTCTGAAAATAAAGTAACTGTGAGCAGAGAGTTCCTGGAGCATTTATAGTGGATTTGTAATTATTATGAAAACTTTTGCATAGATCTCAACCAAGGGGAAATACTTCTTTAGAAATGTAGAAGAAAAGGATAGGGAAAAATAAATTGTTTTAGAAAGTTTCTATATTTGATGTGAATTTCTGAAATATATTTTAAACTATATGGCCAGGATTTAAAAAACTGATTTGCAGATGTCTGTGGTAAAATATTTACAGTGCTATTCTGATTTTCATAGAGAGTTAGATTTGTCTGGTAAATCAAGAGTGTTCAAAATGACACAAGTTGGGGAAAGAATCTAATAATTACTAATCCAATCATTAGAAACTGTTCCATCCAAAATTAAAAATCCTAGTTTAAAAACAAAATACTAACATCCAGAATTTAGTGAAATAAAGTCAGTCTACGTATGTTCTCACTTGAATCTTCAGACTACAATGTTAAAGAGTATCTATTCAATTCTTGCAATTGCAAGTATAACATCTTTATATTATTATGCAGAATAATAGCCTTACTCATGGACAAGAATCTTATTGTATCAAGTAATGCATAAATAGGAAACAAACAAATTTGCTAGTCAAATTGGTTTTCCATCTAAGACAGAAACAAAAGAAAACAGGTATGTGATTCCAATGAGACTGCATCAATCAACATTCTGAAGAGTGTCATTAGTACATTGATGAGCCTAGTTAAGGTGTGTATAAATGTCTAGATCTGTGTGTATAAATATCTAGAGATATGTAAGACAGACCATACGTATAAATCTCAGGGAATCAGAAGTTGCTAGGATGGAATTGTGGAAGATTGATTAATCAGGCCAGTTTTAAACTTAAAAACAAAACTTTACTGAATAAATATGCATTAACAATATACATTGCTTCATGTTTAGTTATTAAGAATTACGAATCAATATTACTACATATGCAAAGCCGCTAGTGCTTAACAGTCATCCTAAATAAGCAAATAATATACAATGTCATAGAGCTGATGTCAAGGATTTAGCACCAACAATTACAGTCCTTGGGAGTCTCAGTCACAGTGATCAGGTTCAAGAGCTCTTCAGCAAAGCATGCTAACAATGAAAAAGATGCCTTCCTTCCCCCTCCTCCAAGTCCAAATCCAGGATTTTCACCTTTTATAAAATATTGCAGTCTTCAGAATTCTTAGACTTTGACCTCTGACCCCTAGGACTTTGGGACACTTGCAGACAGTTCTTTCCTGGGCTGCAGCAGGTGCTTTGTCTTGCCCATCAGTTATGGGATTTTTTCTGATCTGCTGTTTCTTTCCTGCATTATGTCTTTTTCCACCTCTTAAGATTGCAACTCTTTGGGGATTAGTAATCAACCACCACTGAGGTACTTGCAGTTTTGAGACCCTTGTTTTCAGACTTTGCCCATGTTTTCAAGACATTTACAGTCATCCCAGGCTTAAACTCCACAAGAGACATCTGGAATCAAATTTCAGCTGACCAGCAAGTTCTCATAACAGGTTGGTAACAAGCCCAATAGGCCAGGACTGACTTGTGTCTTACACAGGCACAGTGAGGATAAGGCTTGAGTTTTCTTTCTGACAATAGCAAAGCTACTTTTACTGAGCGTGAAAATGTTTCCAAGTTGCTTACAGACAAGCCTGTTTAATGTGACTTTTGACAGAGTTCAAAGCAAGCTAATATTAATTACATTTGGCTTAGCATGCTTCTACTTTCATGAGGACAATAGGCCATTGTTTTGGCCACATAATAAAGCTGTTTGAATAATGAAAGCTAATACAGAGAAACTGGTACATATTTACTTAGTTTTGTATGATTTATCAAAGGAAGGAAGAAAACCAAGAGTATCAAAACTGACTGCTGATATTGAAATAATTACAGTGGCAGAAGTAGCTCCAGTGGGAATTCAGAGGTAAGTACTGCCTTTATTCTACGTGTTGCATTACACACTTTGAACATTGACCAGAGAATAGTAGATGCCTTTTTCAGCCAGAAGCTGCTGATGGGTGCCTTGCTCTACGACCTTGCCGTTCTGTATGACAGCAATCTTGTCAGCATTTTGGACGGTGGAGAGGCGGTGAGCTATCACGATGCAGGTACGGCCTTCTCTGGCTTTATCCAGCGCTTCCTGAACAATCTGCACAATGAACAGACCAAAAGGTGAACTATTCTGACAGCTGCGAAGTAAACTGCAATATGAGAGTGAGGGAAAGGGAAGATCTTGCTCAAGCTTCCTGATTTAGGATTAGCCTGTGTTGGCAAAGAGTCAAAACTGTTATAGCAGGTGTGACAGTCAAGAGGATTAGATGGAACCAGGCTCATTACTGAGGTGCATGGCAGGAGAATAAGAGAAAATGGTCATAAATTGTAACAGGAGATGTTCTGACTGGATTAAAAAGAAAAAAAAAGTGTTCACTGCAAGGACAATTAAGCATTGGACCAGGGACAAAAGAATGTCTGCTGAATCTCCTTAGAGATTTTCAAAGACTCTTCTAGACACAGCATTAAGCAATCTACGTTTGAATTCAGTATTGGCCCTTGTGTGAAGAAGATGTTTAATTGGGGACCTCCACAGGTCTCCTTCATGACAGACTAATTATACATGGGAGTCAAGTCAGTATTCTTGGGTCAACTGCTATCAGACTAGTTCTCCTGATTTTGCAGGGAGTCTCGTGAATCATCTTTTTCTTAGAGCTAGCAGTGGCAGAAAAATACTAAAAAGAATCTCTGCTTTCTTTTCTTTATTCCTTATGCTTATTAATGAGGAATAAAAAGAGAGATGAAATTTCAATTATGTGCCTAACTGGCACATAATTAAGAAAACAATGAATCATGGGATTATTTAATGGCATTTTCCCTTCAAACCTCATTTTTATGCCGACAGATGATAACAACTTGGTCCAAAGGTTTTAACTTTTCAGACTATAATATCTGATATAACATTTGCCTCATTAATAGTAAGGTTTTTTGTGGACTCTGTGTTGGTTTTTTACAGCTAGACTGTATTTCTGTTGTACCAAGATTGCAGCTTTGGGCTTAAAAAAGAAGTAAGTGCTCTAAAAATTTTCACATAACATCTTGTGTTAACCATGAACATGCAGCAAGGACTGGAGAGCATTAGGAGAAGAAGAAAACTTATGAAACAAGATTTGTCAGGTTTACAGAAAAAAAAAGTTCTCTGTCAGCATCCTCAGTCTTTTTGGCTTCTGCAGTCTGTGTGTCCTGATTCAAGTTTGACAGCACTTTTTCAGCTGAAGCCTGAAGAATCCTAGGCTGAGGAATGCATTCTTCATTGCAATTTCAGTCTGTCTACTGCCATACAGATGCAAAAATTACTTTTTTGGGGATTTTTTTGCAAGAAGGAGTAAGACTTTTATATTTGTCTATTATTAGCATAAATGTGTAGTTTGCATAAGACACCATATTTCCAGCTTTTGGCTTCAGTCTGGGAGAGTAAAAACAATAATCATGATGTAAGAAAAAAAAAGGGAGGGTGGAATTTAGATTCCAGGCTCCTGGCTTAAACTTAAGTTACCTTTTCACTTTCTGTGTCTAAGGCAGAAGTAGCTTCATCCAGTAGCAGAATTTGGGGCTGACGCACAAGAGCTCGGGCAATAGCGATACGTTGTTTCTGACCACCAGAAAGCTGCGTTCCCTTGTCTCCTACACGGGTATTGTATTTCTGGAAATAAGAGATTCAGTTCAGGCTAGGAATGCAAATCAGTTCTGAAGTATACTGAAGCATATCAACCCTGACACCAGCCACCCATAAACTGCATATTCCATGCCAGCAGCTCTCTGAAAACAACTGACCAGAATTGCCAGCTGACACAGATCTATAGATCTTTCACCAGGAGACTTCTTTGTAACATCAAGTATTTCCTAAATTCCAAGCAATAGCACTCCCTAGGGTTGGATGGCAATGTTATTCTCAATCAGGAGACAGAACACCAAAGATCAGTGGAAGTCCCTGACAATACTGGGGATCAAACCCTGACTTAAGACACTCCAAGCTAGTGTCCAAATAAATCAGTTACTCTAACCAACTTTTATTCATCCTGAAAAAAAAAGCAATGTGTAAGATGTATCAGATTCAGGCCAAATTATATATCTATATAGGGACACAGACATTTTTAGACTTTATCTATATCTGTCTGGACAGTTATGCTTCTTATTGAGTTAGGAAAGTTAAGGTAAGGCAGACCAGCAGATCTTGATAAGTCATTAGAAAGTAAACACGGTCTGCAAAAATCATGGGTCTCGGCTTTTGTATTTTTTTAAGCTGTTTATCAGCCTGAAATCAGTCTGAATGTGTACAACATGCAACTAAGCTGGCAACCTCCCAACTACAGAAAGTTTTGAAAGCAAGTTGGCACAGGTTAGAAACTGATTTGTCAAACACACAGAAGAAAAATCCTTAAAAAACTAAATAATAAAAAACATTTTCTATCTTAGGAAGTTCCCAAGTCACAAATTACGCAAAGTAAGAAGATGAGAATTCAGGGGAAATGGGATTAAATGTTTAGCCTTTCTGAATACTTATTTGTAAATACGTCTTGGTGGTCACTGCTTGGGACAAGATTATGTGCATGGCAGACCTTTTGTCTGACCAAGATGCTCATTCTTACATTATTGTGTGGTGGTCAGATATATAGATGTGAAAAACTATATTTTCAGACCACAGGAATACTAGAAATTTAAATTCTGACTAGATAAACTAGAAGAAATGTATAACCTTGTCAGTCTAGCAGAGTCTTTTACATGTGCTTGAGATGGACAAGAGCTTAAAAAGAAAGGTTTCATTTACTTAAAAACCCCCACCCCTCACTTCCAGCTCTCAATTAGTTACAGTTGTGTCCTTTCTTCCCAAAGATCTTGAATGTTCAGCTCTCTACCCGACACTGGAATCTCCCAGAGTAAAAATAATTATGGTAAACACAATTAAGAAAGGAAAAATGTTTCAAAAATTGTTTCAGATCTTTTTTCATCTCAGGGAATTATTGTACCCCAGGTATTTACAAGTAGACACAGTTTTTCCCTGCCACTTTAGGTCACTTCCAGTTCCAAGTGGGAGAGAAAAGGAATAACTTACATCTGGCAGAGAGTCAACGAAGGTATGAATATTGGCTTCTTTTGCTGCATTAACAATTTCCTCAAATGGCACCTGACGACTGTTATCTCCATACGCGATGTTTTCAGCGATAGTGCAGTCAAACAGGATTGGCTCTTGTGAGACGATACCAATCTGGGCTCTCAGCCACTTGATATTTAGTGCCTTGGCACCTTTGCCATCAAAAAGCTGAGAAAGCAAACATTTTAAATTTTTGAGACTTACTGTAAATTCATACACAGAAGTTGTGCAATTGCAGCTCTTTCCTTAGAGAGATCAATTGAAAGCTCACATAATCCCTTGCCCTGCTTCTGCCCTATATCCCAACATTTTCTGAGGGCTATTTTATAAAAGTGTTGCCTCAGTCCCCATCTTTGTTTCAAGGTTTAATTAGGATTTTGAAGACAATGGAAGATAGGGTATGCTGAGGCAATTTCAAAGAACCTTGGGTAATGTTCTTTCATTTTTTCTTCAGCGGGAAAAATAAGCTTGAAAGGAGAAATGGCTTTTGACTATATAGGTATTTACCATCTTTTTTCCTTAGAATTCCAATGGATTTGCAGCCTGCTAAGATCTGCTTTCTGTCCCTTATCTGACGTGAAAAATCATTGGAGAAACTAGAGAATACAGTTATTATGCATTTTTGGATCTACCATACCAAACATCATGACTTTTAGGCATGGTTACTCTCCTTATCAGACCAGCACAATTGCTCACTTTTGTGTACAGCTGCTCGGACAGTTACTGCTTTTAAAAATACACCCCTTTCACCTGAATTCACAGGGAAACTCAGCCTCTGAATTAGCCCACCACTTTTGTGGTTTCTATGCCTGAGGTCTGTGCTTTTCCTTTCATGAAACAGTGGCTGGTTATTCATGAATACAAGGTCAAAAAAATTGGTAAGGAAGACAGATTTGGTTAAACATACTTTTGGAGTACTTGTGCTGCTACTTTCTACAAATCATTTTGCTACACTGGACGTGTTTGGGCATTTCAACTCTCAAAAAAATCTTGTCCATTGCATCTAGGTCTTATTTAAGTATTGCTTCCCTTTTTGTGAGTATCTCTGCAGAGACAAGTTCCGAAATCCTTCTTATTCTCATCTCATCCAGCCCAAAATGTGTGCCCTGTTTTTCAAACACAGTCTCTGAATACATTTACATCAAAGAGCAATGGCAATAAACAATACTGTTATGTGAAAAAAAAAAAAGTAAAGTTGCTGAATAAGTATTGTAGGAAACTTTACATGTATTTTAGACCAAAATTACTGAAAGTATTTACAGTCTATCACTTGGTATGTGGACACACTCTGAAAGATGTTTCTGACAAGTAAAAATTACGATAAAAATTATTTTTGGCAATGTTCTCTGGTTTTGGTTTTTCTGAAAGAACATAGCAAATTCTGCTACTACACTATACAGAAGTAGATATGTCTATGTATGTTTCACAAATTTTAAAGTGTTCATAATATAAAAAAGTCAGGAAATTTGCTCTGAATTCAAAACCACCATTAGGCCATGGGTCAGGCAGATTTTTACCACACAGATCTTGTTTCATTAATTCCATACAATGTGGGAAACTGGGGCTTACGTACATCTCATTCAGTTAAGGAGCCCTGATGAGCCAGTGCTGATTTTTAACATTAAAAATACTTGAGAAAGAAAACTAGAAATATCTATTATACTTTATCACATCACATAAAACCAGTAAGCACACCCTCACTTAAATCTATTGACACGTTCTGGAAAAAATACTTACCATTTCTCCATCAAGTGGGTCATAAAATCTCTCGAGCAGCTGAACAACAGTACTCTTTCCACAGCCACTGCTACCAACAAGAGCCAGAGTTTGTCCCTTTTCTACTTGTAGATTCAAACCCTGGAGGATTTTGACCTCTGGTCGGTTTGGATAGTTAAATGCCACATCTTTGATGGTTATGTTTCCCTCAAATGTTTCCTGGAATTAAAAGAGCATCACTGTTACATGTGAAGGAACAAGATTCAGGATGGGAGCGGTTCCAGGCGTGGAGAAAGACATACAGCAGTTGACAGGACTTTAGTATATGGACTTTACTGTTATTAATTATGTGGTTTCATTGTATCCACACTACACAGTGCACAGCCTGGGCATACCCACACTACACAGTGCACAGCCTGGGCATACCCGGGCTTGCCACGAGTTTGCCTGCTCCCTGCTTCCCCGCTCCCCTCTCTGATGGGCTGCAGAAGCTGCAGAGAGGAGACAGTTACCATTCGCCCTCTCCTTCCCCGGTTCCTCCCACGTTCCTCCCCCTTTGCCTGTGTCCCTACCCCAGTTTGCTCCCCCGTTTGTCTGTCTCATGCTCCACCCCATGTTCTAGCCCTTTCCCCCCTGAACCCATAAAACCTCAGGACACCTCAATAAAGTATTCCATTTGCAGCTCTACCTTGTCTCCGGACCCGTCTGTGCTGTGTCACGGCCCCATCCCCCCTCGGACCGTGGCAGTTACATCTTTAAGACAATTTCACAGATGATTCTAATAGAATTGCAGAAGTATTTACTCCCCGCCTCGACATCAATAGGGGTTTTCAAAACAAATGACCTTTTGCCATTATGAGCAAAAGCTGGACTCACAATAGAGGACTTGGTCCATGTTGTGTTCAGATAAAGTGTCAAGAATGCATTGGGAAAAGGATGTAATCAGGAGAGGAAAAATCAGTTTGAAGGAAGTGAGAAGAGTGCTGTTCATATTACCGACAGACAATACCACCCGTTACACGTGGCTTACTTACGGGCTTCTCTCCTTCCTCACTGTAACTATCTATTGAGGGCACTCTTTCGAACAGCTGAAACAGGTGGGCTGCTGATATCTTGGCTTTAGCATAGTCGGGAGCAAAAGAGCTGGTTTCTCCTAAGGCCATTGCACCAAATACAACAGCTGAAAACACTCTACAAAAG